AAAAACTAAATTAGAACCATTGGAAAGTGTAATTAGCTAGTTTGGGAAGTGGTAGATTTCCTCTTCCACTGAAGGTATTTAAACATAGATTAGATAACTACATAATGGGTAGGACTCCATGGTTACTGAGGTCCTTTCTAGATCGAAAATTCTGCAATTCTGTGAATGTTATTTTTTTCAAAAAAGGAATTATCTGTTCAAACCTATTTCTAACAGTATCATTTGTGGCTGTGAATAACAAAAATGTAGAGCAGTAAAGTACTGCATTAAAAGGTTTGCAAAACATTTTTACAAACTTTCTGTAATTTGAATCTCTTAGTAAGTCTATGGTAGAGGGATAGAGCTGAGGGATAGAGACTGGACCTGTGATTTCACCAGCACAGGAAACTTCCTAGTGAGGGTATTTCTCTATACCAATGCCTGTTGGCCCCTTCCTGGTAACTTAGAGTCTTCAAATATGTGGATGGAAGAGATGAGCTTCCTCAGAAGGGAAGCTGCTTGCGACTGTGGAACTTCTTACACAGTTTCCCAAATGATTTTTAGCCCACTTTCTTCCTTCTTTTCACTGCTGGATCTTCTTCCTTCCTTCCCGGAAATCAGCCTGTCATTCTACAAGTATTTGCTTATCACCTACTATGTGCTAGGAGCCATACTAAGCCCCGAGGATACAAAGACGTCCTTGGATTCATGGAATGCACATTCTAATGAGGAAGGCAAGGCGTAATGTAAGGACTTACCATGTGCCGGGTATTATGCCAATGGGGCAGATGACATGTAAATAACCAGGAACGAATAAGAGAAGCATTTGTTAAGAGTCTACTCTGCGTCTGGCACTGTGCTATGCACTTTACAAATATCATCTCATTTTATCCTCATAGCAATTCTATGAGGTAGATGCTATTAGGATCTCCATTTTTCAGTTGAGGACACTGAGGCAGATAGAGATTAAGTGACTTGCCCAGGGTCACACAGATAGTAAGCATCTGAGGCCAGATTTGAACTCAGGTCTTCCTGATTCCAGGACCAATGCTCTATCCACCATACTGCCTGGATACATACATGATACATACATACATTTATATGTAGAGAGAGATATAGATAGATATAGATAGGACAGATATAGATAGATAGATAGATAATAAATAGAAGGTAATCCATCTCAGACAAAGTCCCTGTACAAGACAGGTCTATTGAGGAATTAAGTCTATAGGCCTCATCCAACCCAACCGCTGTCAAGCCATATTCTAGACAATAAGCATCTTTCATCCACTTGTCTTCCCTGTGTGGATAGCCAGGCCAATCTTATGTGGGTTACTACAGTTCTCTAGCATCCAGGGGCTTGATGCAATCAGCCAGTTGTTGTCCCTCCTTTGTTTTTAAAGAGGACAATGACATCACACAGTGGTGTCTTCACTTGTGAATGAATTGGATTTAAGTGAGGCAGAGCTGCACAAAGTCATCAGCCTCACTGTCTCTTCCAGAGGCATCCAAGTCCAGTGGCAGGACAAAAGACAGGATGACTGGAGATGGCCCAGGTCACAGGGCATGACCTTGGTGTCAATCTCATCTCTCATCCTTATTAGCTATGTGATTTTTGGGCCAGTCAATCGCACTGGTCTTCTATTTCCCCACCTATAAAAATGAGGGAGTTGGACTGGAAATGGTTGAATGGTTGAAATGGTTTCATTCACCTTTGAAGTTAGGTTGATAGTATGTTTACTTTTTAAAGCAATTATTTAAAAAATAATAAATTATAATATAAAACAATTTGCCCAAGTTACATAGGGACCACGCGAGACATTGCCTGGCCCATTGACTGTGGCAGTGCCACATTCTACTGCAAAGATCTACCCTGTGCTGGCTAGATATTGATACAGGGGGTCTCCCAACCCAAGGCAATGGGAAGAAGAATGAGGACTGAGCTTCTAATTCTTAAGGATGGAAATGGTAGAGAAACTTAGACTGGGAAGCGGCTGCTGGGGCCACCCAGGCCTAAAGATCTTCAAACTATTTCCAACTACCCTTCCTCTCCCATTGTGGAGGGACCATTTCCCCATTGACAATCCCTTCCTTGGCACCCTTCTCCATTTCCTCTTCTTACCTCACTAAGCATCCTCCCCATGGTCCATCTCATAGGGTGAGGTGATGGCATAGCATTCTCAGTCCCGATTCTATGGTGATCTGATCACGACCTGCTATTCATTCAAGCTGACCCCCAGATTACATGGTGGATAGGAAAAATTCACCCTCATAGCATAGCAAGTCAAACCAGTTACCCCACCCCAATTTGTGTCTTGGGGGTTGTGGATCATAGAGTAAATAATTTCATGCTGAAAAGGTGCCCAGATATTTAATTCAAACTCCCCACCCATCTCACAGATGAGGAAACTGAGGCTAAGAGAGGAGGAGCAACGTTGTGACTGACAGGGTCTTAGGACCTCTGACACTAGAATACTCATGAGAATGAATGAGTGAATGAAAAAAAAACCACATTTATTTATTTATATATTTTTAAAAAAACATTTATTAGGCACTTATCATATGCTAAGAACTATGCTTAGCACTAGGGATACAAGTAGAAAAGGAAGATAGTCCCCATTCTTAAGGAGCTTGCTCTTTGATAGGGGGAAGCAACACATTTGGGGGGTTAAGCTACAGAGGAAGTCTTACAAATGGGGAGATAGATATCCAGACCCAGAGGCTGGTAGATCTTAGAGGACTTTATACATGTATACCCCTGTTAAGATTCATCTTATTAAATTCAGTACGTCATTCCCAGACTATCTCATTTAACATGCTTTCTGGCTTGTTCTGGCAATGGGTCATTAGGTGGGGCTCAGAGCTGTGGATCTGAATACATGTTGACTGCACCATAGCACATTGACCCAAGAAGAGTTGCCATAATATGGACAAAGGCAAATGATGTCCCAATTTTCAAAAGAGTAAAGAGGATAGAGTCTACCAACTCTAGTGAGCTTGACTTCAATTGCAGGGAAAATTCTAAAATGGACCATTAAAGAGATGGCTGCAAAATGTAATACAAAGGGATTTATTAAGCACTTACTAGGTGTAAGGCACTGTGCTAAGCCCTGGGATACAAAGAAAGGCAAAAATAAAAAATATGTCCCAACCCCTGCTTCAAGAAGCATGTATTCTAATGAGAGAGATAATATGCAAACAAAAATTAACATACAATGTATGCAAGGTATGGGATTTCCCTACAATATGTAATTTTTTTTTACTCCTAGTCCCAGTAATCTCTTCATCCTCAAATTTCTTACATTGATCTCCCTACTTCCTTCAAATTATTTTTATTTGTTTTGTATATATTTAATTTTAATGATTTGTTTTACATATTGTTTTTGTTCAGTAGAATCTAAGTTCTTTGTAGGAAATGACTGTCTCATTTGTCATGGAGACCGCATCCGCCATTTGGGGCATGCTCAGTCAACATTCCAGGCAAATATTGGAAGCCTGCGATGGGCTTGCTTCTGGTCATTCATGATGGAGGGATCCTTACCCCTACTTTAGAATGTGTGCAATACTCACTGTTTAGTTTCAAAACAACAAATGGAGATTTACTTAGCCTTCTTCTGGCTAAGAGTGACTGGGGGGGAAGGGGGTCTGGTAATTTGAAGTAATGAAGAATCTTCTGGTTGACTCCAGAAAGGCTAGAGATGCAAGAGAAGTTGAATCAGAATTGAATATGATTTCAAAAAGTTTGAGTGAATGAGTTTGATCTAGCTCTTCCCTCTGGGTTGTTGGCTGAGGAAGACTTCAATGCATTGACAGGCTAGGGAAGGGAGGGAGGGATAGTGGCAAGCTATGTTCTCCCACCCAGTCACCAGGTGTCTATAATCTCTTGGTATGTTTCTGGGTTTTTTGTCTCTTTGTGTTAATTCCTTCTTGATCTTCAGTGAAGAGATATTCAGGGGCAGAATTGACGAGGTTATGACCTTGTAAGTTCAGGAAAGCTATCAGAGATCCTTCAGTAATCAGAGTTGGTGGCAGAGACCACCAAAATTGGCAGTAGTAGCCAATGGTGGGGGGTCAGTACAATCGCTGAGTGACCTGCCTGAGTTGCTTAACAGTGGGTCTACCCCTAAGTTGAGACACTCACCCAGAAAGGAACCAGCACAACTGAGCAAGTGAGTGATTCATCCATCTTTTTTTTATTTTTTTCATGGCAGAAAATAAATTTTTATTTTATTTTTTAAAAATTTATTTGGTATTTTATTTTCCCCAGTTACATGTAAAACAATTTTTACCATTTGCTTTTAAAACTTTGAGTTCCAAATTCTCTCCCTTCCTCCTACTCCACCTCTTCCTTCCGTTGAGAAGGCAAGCAATTCAATATAGGTTATACATATATAGTCATACAAAATATTTCCACATTAGGCAAGTTGTGAAAGAAAACATAGACACCCCCACCAAAAAAAAAAACTCAAGAAAAATAAAGTAAGTAAAAAAAGAATGATTCAATCTGTATTCAGACACCATCAGTTCTTTCTTTGGGGATAGATAGCATTTTTCATCTTAAGTCCTTCAGAGTTGTCTTGGATCATTGAATTGCTAAAAATAGCTAAGTTATTTACAGTTGATTATCTCACAATATTGCTGTTACTTTGTACACAGTATGGTTCACATTGCGTCAGCTCACATAAATCTTTCCAGGTTTTTCTGAGAACAGTCTGCTTATCATTTGTTATAGCATAATAGTACTCCATCATAATGATATAACACAATTTGTTCAGCCATTCCTTGATTGATTAGGGAAATTTCCAATTCTTAGCCATCAGAAAAGAGCTACTATAAATATTTTTGTACATATATACCTATGAATGGGCAAATTGGCCCAGATAAAAAGTAGAGTGGGTGCTGACCAGCAGTGGGGCTGGGACCATAAATGGTGGCTGTACTTCTAGCCTGGGTGAGATAGGGAAACTCAGTCTCAACAAGAAAAGAAAAAGGAAAGAATAGTCCATTCCAAGGCTCTCTGCTTACCAGGCCACTCTATTCCCCACTACTACCTTGATGAATGCTGCCTCGATGTCCTTATTCCTAAGGCTGTAGACCACAGGGTTGAGCAGAGCAGTGAACACATTGTAGAAAACTGATATCTGCTTGTCTCTCTCTGGAGTGTAGCTGGAGTTGGGCCTCATATAGATGTATATGGCAGGTGCATAGAACAGAGTGACCACAGTTAGGTGGGAAGCACAAGTGGAGAAAGCCTTACACTGACTTTTGGTGGACTTGATCTTGAGGATGGCCATGGTGATACGAACATAGGAGGCCAGAATGAGTGACAGAGGGGCTAACACCATGAGGATGCTCAGGACTAAGTCTATCACCTCAATAAGGTGTATGTCCATGCATGCCAGGCTCCTGACTGAGGGACCTTCACAGAAGTAGTGGTTAACCATATTAGGACCACAGAAGGGAAGCCTCATGGTAAAAAAGGTATGGAGTAGGGAGAAGAAGAAACCACAAGCCCAGGTCCCTACCACCAACCTCACACACAGGTCCCAGTTGAGGATGAGCATGTAACGCAGTGGGAAGCAGATGGCTACATAACGGTCATAGGCCATGACCACAAAGAAGATACACTCAGTGAGACCCAGAGCACCAAATACGTACATCTGCAGCCAGCAACCTTCAAAGGAGATGAACTTAGAACTGGAAAGCAGGTGTACCAACATCTGAGGTATTGTGGTAGTGACGTAGCCCATGTCCAGTAGGGAGAGGATGCTGAGGAAAAAGTACATAGGTGTGTGGAGGTGAGAATCCAGGCAGATCAGAATGATGATGAGTCCATTGCCCATGACTGAGCAGAGGTAGAGAAGGAGAAAGATGATGAAAAGGATCCTGTTTGAGGTGGGGTCACTGGTGAAGCCAAGCAGGATAAATTCAGTAACGGAACTATGGTTTGATGCTGGGGACATTGAGGCAGTAGGGCCCTGGGAAGGGAAAAAAAGAAGATGGTGGAATCTAGGGATCTCAGCATTGGCCATGGGCCCTCTGAGTTCCTCAGTTGAAGACCCCCTATTGAAAAGTCCTTCCCTGAGAGCTTTGGTACAATCCTAGCATCATAGAATTTTAGAGCTTCAGAGATCTTTAAGGATGATCTTGCCCAAACCCTCATTTCCCACCTGAGGTCACCAAGGGCCTAAGAAGGAAAATGACTTGCTCCAGATTATATATCAAGTCAGAAGAAGAGGTGGGGTGAGAGTTGAGATCTCTTGTTCACTAGTTCCATGGTGCTCTACTACGTCCAGTTTGGGCATCCCCTGATTCCTGTGGGCTCTTAGAGGAGAAGACTTCAGAAATCATTTTCTATGGCTCCTACCTGAGCATGAGTGTCCTATAGAATATCCCCAACTAGAGAAATCTAGCCTTTTTCTGAAAGGTCACTACTCATAGCCCTTTCCCTTTTTAGTTAGTTCTACATGAGGGGAAGCTTTTCCACATACTAAACTGAAATGTACTCCATAACTTCCATCTGCTGCCTTGAGTGCCTCCCTCTGAGGACAGGCACAATAAGCATTTCCTCATCCTGTAAATTATTACTATCTCAATGCAGTCTAAGATCACATTATCCTTTGTGTTTGCTATATCCCATTTTTGATTCATAATGACCCTTCAAGTCCACTAAGACCTCCAGATCTTTTCCCACATAAGCTCTCACTTGCCATGTTTTCTTTATCCCATACAGAGTTTCAGTATCGCATGGGAATAGGATTCTTATGATTTTCAGGATGTGAGGAGGTTGTGTTTCCAAACTACTACATTGTCTAAAATTTCATGAAAAACAAAATTGCTAAGAACATCTCTTTTTTTGAGGGGGTGGGGGAAGAGGCTCCATTTATTCTTGAAGGATTCCAGGAGATTCCTGCCAAGTCTGGGAGAATCTTAGGATAATAAGATTCAGTGTTGGAAGAGATTATCTAATCCACACTTCCTCTCTCATTATGCCAATGAAGAAACTGAGACACAGGGAAGTTGAATAATTTGCTGAAGATCACATAGGCAATAAATAGTCTAACTAAGATGTAAATTTACTTCTATTTCTATCTCACAAGACTCTTGAAATCAAAGCCATCCTCTTTAAGACTGAAGAAAACAGAGATTTGAAAGACCATAGTAATTCATGAAATACCTTATTAGGGTGTGGCAAGTTTTCACACTACATAGGTAGAGGGAGGCACTCTATGGATGAGATCACACAGCTCTCTTCAGAAATTTTACATAATGATTAAAAAGTATTTCCTAATAAAATTACATCTAAGAAATATGAAAGTCATTTGAAATATATGTGGAGCATTTGAGGGAATTGAGGATGTTCAGGCTGCAAAGGATAAAATTCAGAGGGTACAGGAAAGCTAGGTATTATTAGAACTGTCACATGGAAGAACAGCTAAACTTGTTCCTTTTGGCCCTAGAGTTTAGCAATGGATGGAAGCTAAAAAGAGGCAAATTTAAGCTTAGGTTCAGGAAAAGGACTCTGAATCTAAAAGTGAAATGGGTTCTCGCTTCAACACCACATATTAGAATGACACAGAGAAGATTAGAATGATCCCTGTGCAAGGATGACATGCAAATTTGTGAAGCATTCCACATTTTTGAAACCCAAAATCTTGTGGAAGTGAATGTTGAAAACTAAAAAGAAATAAATTAATAAAAAAAGTAAAATGGCCTATCTCTGGGGGAAATCTGTTCCCTATCATTGGAAGTCTTCATACTGAAACTTCATGACCACTTCTCATGTATACAATAATGAAGATTCCTTCTCAAGTATGGTTTGAACCAGATGGTTGCTGAGGTCTTTTCCAGTCCTAAAATGCTATGATGCTTGGCAAATAGCATTTGGATAGCTGGGGAGGAGTGAAGCAGGGCATTTTAGACAGCAGAGACAACATAAAGCAAAGGTTCAGAGGTTGTCAATACACCTGACTTTATCAAGGATGGCACACCTCCAGTTTGACTTAAGTGAATAATTCCTATAGTAGTGAAAAACTGGATTGGACCTGACTAGGAGGGACTTGAATGCCAGGATGAGGAGTTCAGGCTTTGTTCTTTGCCCTTGAGGGTTTCTGACTAGATAAGTGATATGCTCAGGAGTGTGTCTTTGTTGAACTCTTTAGTCAACATTTGTATGGGAAATCACACATGGGAGAAGCTGAAGGCAGGGAGACAAGTGAGGAGGCTATTGGTGAGCCCAGGTGGAGGGGATGAGGGCCTGACCTTGAGCATTTGGCTATGTGGGTGAAGGGGACAAGATAGACCCTCAAGATGTTTTAGAGGAAGAATCAGCAGGACTTGGAAACTTACCAGGTGGATAAGGCAGAAAAAGAAAATTCAACAACAATGACAATAACAACACAGTGCTTTACATACTTTACCCAACTGGAGATAATGTGGGATCTTGAGTCTAGGTAGTAGATAGACAGAAACAAACATATCCAAAAGAGAAACTCCCTGATCAGTTGCAGAGGGAGGAAGAGGAGGAGTTCAGTTTTGGACATACTGAGCCTAAGTTATTATCAGGATATCTGTCCAGGTGGAGAGGGGGAGCAGGAATCTGGAGAGCCTGAGAAAGGTAGTCAGGACTGTAGATAGAGATTTGAGAGCCAAAATCTACTTTCAACTCAAAAGAATATGGAAGTGATTGTTGATAAATGAAAATAAATTAATAAAATTTAAAAAAAAATAAAATGAAATTTAAAAAAAGAGAGTCAAATCTTAGTCCTATTTGTCTGGGAGGAGATGAAGTCAGTGAGGCAGAAAGTGCCTAGAGAGAAGAGAACAGAGGCTAGGGCTTTAGAAGATGCCCATATTTAGGGAAAAGCTAGAGGAGGAAGGACTGTAGTGGTAGAGAAAGCATGGTCAGAGAGGTAGGAGAAGAGCTAGGGAATGAAGAGAAGGAATGATGAACAACCTTGACTCAGATGACCTAGATTTTTCTGCTTGAGGTAGGAGGCAAGGCCACTTACTGACTCCATATTTATAAAGAAGCACCAAGGGCCCTTTTGAGTATATAGAGGGTGGTTTGTATTGGCTTGAGACAATGGCCCAAATGACATTCTCCAATAGCATTTGGCAAACAAGGCACTTTGAAAGCCATTAATGCAGTCTCCCCAGTAACAGATCCATCAACTTTCTCATCCCTACTCAAAAGTCCATTATCTCCCCAAAGGCCAGGGACAGATTGATCAACATCCCTCATACCCCAGTCATAGATCCATCAACTTCTTCACTCTCATCCCCCTTAACAAATGCATCAGTTATCATCTTCCCAGCCCCAGATCCCGAGTTTTCTCCTCCACACTCAAGCACAGACCCATCGACACCTACACCTCTGTCACAGATTCATCAACTCCCCCTCCTGAGTCACAGGCCTGTTACTTCCCCTATGCCCTGATACAGATACATAAAATCCCCCATCCCAGCTGCCTAAGTCATCACCTTCCCTAAAGTCTGAGGGAGAGACAGGAAGCCAAGGCACCACAACTGCCTGAAACATCATGTGTCCTCATAAACCAATGGAAGTGAGCCAGGATCCTTCTCCTAAGAGCCCAGGAAGAGCTTCATCCCTCCCCACTCCACATACCTGGACCACCAGCCCTGTTTCCAACCCTGCTTCTGCAGCCATCCTTCAGGGAAGCAGTCCTAGGGAAAAAATGGACGTGACAATTTCCTCTGGAAGTGCTGCAACCCCCACTTCTTCAGCAAGTACAGCTACTGAAGACCCATGAAAGAAAGTTCTTGTCACCAAAGGCCATAGCACTGCCAAATGGTTCAATATCAGAAATGGGTATAGTTTGATCACTGGAAATGACACTAAAGAAAATGCATTGCTATCTCTCTAGTTCCTGCACCCTTCCTATCCTATATGTATTGTCTCTCCCTCACCCCCCATCAACATGCGAGTTTTCTGATAACAGGAATTGACTTACATTTCTATGTTTCTTCCCCATGCTTGGCACAAAGCAAGTACTTAACAAATGCTTTGTGATTGATTCATTCATCTAGCCATTCACTTATGCTTAGACACAAATCCATAAAACCTCTTATCACTAGTCTCACAACCATCAACTTCCCTGTCCTCACTCACAGGTCCATCAACTACCCCCACACCCAGTAACAGATCCATCCTCACTCATGGGTACACCAACTCCATTAGTCTCAGTCACAGAGTCATAAATTCTTCCTCATCCCATCCCCAGTCACATTCTCTTATCCTCAGTCACAGAGAGATGATAACAGAAGACAGAAACTCGGAGAATGTCCACATTTAGGGAAAAATTAGAGGAGAAAGAACAATCAGGGTTAGAGAAAGTGTGGTCAGAGAGGTAGTGGAAGAAGTAGGAAATGAAGGAAGAAATGATGAAGAACCTCATGGTATCCCATCTTAGATCCTCTCTATGGTACAGTTACAAAAGCCCTAGGTACAAAGTCTGAGAACCTCATTTAGAATCCTAGTTTGCAATCTGGTGACCTCAGGCAAGCCACTTAAGCTCTCTGGGTTTTAGTTCTGCATCTGAAAAGGGAGGTGAAGACCTCAGGATTTACATCTCTGGTCTTCTAGCACAGGGATGTGAAAATAAAGAAAGCAGGAAGGTAAAGGGGATGAGGAGCAGTATGGGTCAGAAGGTCTAAGGCAAGGGTTCAGGCAAAGGTTCTTAACTTTTTTGTCTCTGGACTCCTGTGGAAGTCTGGTGAAACCTATGTACTCCTCAAAATCATGTTTTCAAAGACATAAAATGAAGCACATGGACTTACAAAGGAAAGGGAAAGGTTAGTGAAGATTGTGATGTGTTTTCCCCTCATCCAAGTTCCTAGATCAAATAAATATATTCATGGAACTATGGACCCCAGGTAAAGAACCATTGGTGTAGGAGTTGGGGAGTGTAAGGTTGGAGGCAGTGAGAATGACTGTGAAGAA